GCCAACGCACACAATAGTGCATTGCGGCGCAATGCGCACTCCTCGTTGCACGCGCGCAACGCGACAACCTGCGCCGAAAAAAACCATCTTGACTCAGAAAAAACTGAATGGCAACTATAAGTAATTCCACTCGAGAAAGAACGCATCGTGGCGCAATGCCCTTTCCTCGCCCCTCGCGCGTTCCCGCGCGTGCGCGATGAGAAAAACCCCAAGGCAAAATGTGCCGAATTGCGATTTTACTTCGAGGACAGAATGTCGAAACCAATCGTTTCTCTCGCGCTCTGGAAGCCGACAGCGTGGAATCCTGCGCTGCGGCCCAATGCACCTTCCCCGTTGCTCGCGCGCGCAATGAAAGTTCCGCGCGCGATAGCAATTGTTTTTGTTATAACAACTGAAGGGTGACGCAATAAATTGAATCCCGCGCATTCTGGAGGGCTCAGCGTGAAACGACGCCTTGTCTCGCGGCGTTGTGTCCTGGTTGGTCGCACGCGAGCGCGCGCGTGAACAAGGCGCGAGCTCATGCCGCGTTGCAACCTTAAGCTCGACGGCTGAAAAGTGGAAACCAACTGTTTCACTCGTATCCTGGAAGCCTCAACGTGGACCAACGCATTGCGGCACAGTGCATGTACCTTGTTGCCCGCGCGCGCAATTCAAACGCCCTTGCTGAAAAGCCACCTTGATCTCGACAACTCAATGCTAAAAATGAATCGTATCATTCGTATTCTGGAGGTCTCGACGTCGACTAATGAATGCACCGTGGCGCAATGCATCTTCCTCGTTGCTCTTGCGCGCGCGCGGGCGCGCGCGGTGCACGGGCCACTCGGACAACTGATGCAGAATGACCAGCTGGAGCTCAAAAACTGACTGATGAAAACCAATTGTTTCACTCGTATTCTGGGGGCTTCAACGTGGAAGAATGCAACGCGGCACACTGCGTTTCGCTCGTTGCTCGCGTGCGCACGTGCACGCGCGTAAACAATGTAAACGCTTCTACAGAATGGCCATCTTAACCTCGAAGACCAAATGGCGAAAACCAAATGGTCCAATCGTGTTCTGGAGGCCTCAACCTCGAATAACGCAATGCGGCGCGATGCACTTCCCTCGAGTTCCTCCTCGTTCCTCGCTCGCGCGCGCGCGCCCGCGCGTGCAGATGCAAAAGCCGATGCAAAATAGACATCGTAATCTCGCAAACGCAATTACGAACACCAGATGTTTGACTGGTATTCTGGAGGCCCCGACGCGGATGCATTCACTGCGGCGCAATGCACTTTCCGGCGCCGCAGCTTGGGCCGCGCAAAGGCAACCGCTACCAGGGCGCCAGTGCCCGCGGCCGCCAAAGGGCCGGCCGCGGCAGCCCAAGGCTCGGGCCCCTCCTGGGCCACGCGTGGGCCTAATGCCGCGGAGGGTGACATCATGCGCGACCGCGTTCCAAAGAATGCGGGGGTCCGCGGACGCAGCGAGAAGAACCTCCATTCCAATGAGAGCCCGAGAGGGGGCAAACTGATAATGCATTTTAGCTTCCATCTGGTGCCCTGTAGGCACCAGGACGGGTCTAGAGGCATGCGATGGATTCGATGAAAAGCCCGAGGGCACCATCAGGCACCGATTGCATACCACTGGAGCTTAATACATCACACTGACAAAAGGGCCCAATGTTGAAACGAAACATGAGGCGCATGAACAGTTGAACGCGTTTGAACATGATGATCCTGGGCCCGTGGGGCCCGTTGACACCATTGAAGCCGCTTCCCCGCCGCCCCAAGATACGATGCACAGCGCGACTGCTGGGGGTGCTGGGGTCGTACTCTGCAGGAGCGTTTTGCATTCTCCATCGCCCGTCAAACCCGCGCAACCGAATCCAGATTGCGATCGACGGCTGGCTTTTTCATTGTTTCAAAACCGTTTGGAAAAAAAACTGCCACAATCGGATTACTAATATGCTCTTTTCTTCCATTTGGAAATAAGGGCTTTAAACAAAACGATGCAAGTGTCAGATTATGCACGCGCTGCTCTGGCGAGTCTCCAGGCTGATACCCTGCCACAAGATCCGCGACCGTCCCACACACTGAGATGTCTTGAGAACCGCGTCGGCCCCTGCCGCAGCAAGGAGCTGTCCAAGCTGGCCGACTGGCAGGTCGAGCGCTGGCACCGTAGTCTTGAACGAGAACTCCCCAGGTTCAGGTCCTGGCATCTTCGAGGCAACTGCATGTCCCTGGGCCACGAGCTCGGTATGTTTGGCCGCCAGGTCCTGCGCGACCTTCTCAGCCTCCTCCAGCTTGGTGGCCAGCTCGTCCTGCTGTAATCGTAGACTCCTGATGGCCTGATCCTGCTTGTCCATCTGCCCCCGCAGCGTATCGATACGCGTGGTCCAATGCTGTACTTGGGCCGCATACGGTTTGCTGGATACAAGCTTGCCTTTGATTCTGTCACGCTCCTCGACCAGATCTGTCTTGGCCTTGACCAGGACATCTTCAGTAGGAGACCCCAACTGTCGTGCGCAGCTGCGATCTCGCCCAGGCGCTTCTGGTCAGGGTCCTCGGACTCGGCCTCGGGCAGCAAAGAAGAGGAGCCAAGTGACTGCACATCCTTTGACTCTGACTCATGCAAGGCCTTGGTGAGGCGGGCGATCTCGTCATCCTTCTCACGTAGGGCCTGTTGCTGCTGCGATGGTAGCCCTTTGCCTACTCCTTTGGGCGGCACGCGGGAGCTGGGTCCCTTGGGCACCTTGTTACCGCCAAAGGATGATCCCTTCGCGGTGAGCAAGGAAAAGCGCGAGGAGGGTTGCGCAGATAAAGAAAAACGGCCATGATATCCGACATTGAGACACAATACAACATCGACAACAATCACGTCTGGCGCACCAATCTTTCTGCGCCATGTTTCGCGCCGGATCGATTTGCGAGGGTCCCGGGGCCCGAAATCCAGCCAAGACGCCCTTGCGTGAAAGAATTGCATCGCCCGGACCTGAAAGGGGAGGCAGCAAGCCACGAGGCCCCGCGGACCCAGCAGACCCCGGAGCACCAGCACGGGGACGAGGACCCCCGACCGCGCCCCGACCTGCTTCCCGCGCGCGTGTCTCTGCGGCCCGGCCTCTCGGGCGGACTCCGTACCGCGGGCCACCTGCTGTCGTCGAGGAGAAAAAGCCACCCTACCCTCACAGCACGGTGAGGACGTGGCCTCACTGAGGTCCTCTTCCTCGTGCATGAGAGATGATGATTCTGGGCGGTTTGGTGTGGCACATCTGCAGGATTTGCGGCACTCCTGCCTTAGGTGCTCTGCCGAAGGGTCGTGGGTCTTATCATTGCTCTTCATCCCGTGGTCCCTGGGCGCCACGAAGCCCAGCTCCTCGACCCTGCCTCTCGCATGGACTCCGCTCTGTCGGCCGCCTTCCAGTGGGCCCGGGCCTGCTGGGCGCTGCCTCATGGTGGGGCGAGACACGTGCGCGTTGCTCCATGCCTGCCATCGCTCGAACGTCCTTTCCCCGTGCATTCTTCGGTTTCGTGCGTTCGGCTTTCGCACGATGCCCCAGGGTGCTTCCCGACGGTCCTCGCCGAGAAGAAGCGCACACGCCCGAGCGGTGCCAAACTTTTGGGTCCCGGAGGGCCCGTCTGGGGCCCCTTTCGGGCACAAGGAGCGCACATGTCTTCACCCCCCCCTATGCTCGCCCCTCCCTTACGCAACGCCTTAGCCTGGCTTGCACCGCGGGCCTCCAGGGGCCCTGAGCTCAGTTCTTTGACCCCGCCCATCGCGGCGCTTCTGGGGGTGAGCAGGTACCGACCGTCCTGGCAGACCTATACGCCTACCAAGAAGTCTTCTTACAACCCAATAGTGGTTCACATCACAACAATGCCCTTAGACACACAAACCCGATGTGTTAGAACAAAAGAGTCTCAGCCAGAAATGTTCTAAGCACACTTCGTGCAGACCAGAAAAAATTCTCGGGACATTCTTGGGTGGACCGATCGACAAACAAGCAAACACGCGTCGCCACTGCTCGATGGGGGGCGAAGACCGCAAGGGGCCGGCGAACATAGCTGTTTCAAGACCGGCGCAAAAAGATGCCTAGACCGACGCTCCCCAGGTCTCTGACTGGGCACGCTCTGGTCGGGCCGGGCGAAGGATAGCAAAGGGAGGCTTTGAGAATCTGCTCACGTAGCTGATTTTCCCGGCGCCTCCAGGCGCCCATGTATCGAAGAATGGGCCCGGCGGAGGGGCCGAAACCAGCTGCATGCAGCAAAGTTCGTAAAACCCTCTTTCCCTATTTCCCGCTTTCGTTCGGCCCAATCTGGCCAGGACGCCGCGGCGAGTGCGGGCTTGGAGTTATACTTACGGACCTTATCCCATAACTACGCACGAGCAATCAGACGAGTATCGAAACAATGTATGCCCTACACGCTAGCGCAATTTCGAACTGGTATCGCTTCCCAGTCCCGGCACGTGAAACCCTACAGTTTCGGTACTTCCGTGCTGCTCGATTTTTTTTGAGCTCAAAGCTAAGTTAGGTTGGAAAGCCATACGCCTGGGGGTCCCCCAGGAGGCCCAAGATGGCGAAAACGAAGGAAGGGCATCGGAATCAGCGTCCTTATGCTGCGACTGTCGGCCCCCATTCTCTCGAACTCGCGGTTCCTAATCCTTCCTGGGCCAATCCTGGCTCAATGTTTCATCACGGGTCGATCTACGACGGTCCAGGGGACCGAGCCCGGCCAGATGCCGAAAACGAACAACGTCGATTCCGTGGTTTTCCTTCCTTCTCTTCCTCCACCTCCTTCGATTTCCATGGGGGCCTGGTCGGACGAAGCCGCCAGATTCTGGTCGGTCTGCGTTGAGTGGGGGGGTTTTTGGCGAGTGCGACGACGATGTCGGACCGCGGCGACGACGACGACGACGACGATGGACCGCGGCAACGAGGACGTCGACTAACCGCAACGACCTGCGGCGGCGGCGGATCGCGAAGAAGACGTCGACTGGCGGCGACGACAGACGGCGACCGCGGAGCGCTCCTTCTGCGGAGGGCAACCGGTGGGCTGCGCCGGACGCGCGGGAGCCAGAGGCGTCCCACCTGTCCTCGGGCAGGCGGCCACATATGAAACGAACGCAGAATGGGGACATTCTCGTTTCGGAACTTCTGCATCTAGGCAAATGAAAATCTGGTTACCAGTGCATGCCACACATGATAAGCAAGTCGTGCGATAAGTGTTTCTAAACAAAAGGTAAGTGTAATCAGTCACTGTAAGCTTCCGATAAGTTGTTCGGCGGCGAGCGATGGGGGGAAGTGAGAGGGATAGGCCCTTCTCAGAAGGCGGCGTGACTTTCCAGAAGCCCTCGCGCCTTCTGAAAGGCTTTCTGCATCTTCATGGAAGGCTTAGGGAACTTCTCAGAACGCCGTGGGACTTCCGAGCCTTCTGACACGTTTCCTCCTCCTCCTCTTCCTCCCTCCTCCTCCTCCTCCTCCTCCTCCTCCTCCTCCAGCTCCTCCTCCTCCTCCTCCTCCTCCTCCTCCTCCTCCCTCCTCTCTCCTCCTCCTCCTCCTCCTCCTCCTCATCCTCTTCCTCTCCTCGGCCAGAAAACGGCCCCTGGAGGCCGAAGAAGGCAAACAAAAGAAGTCTTCCTGAACCCAACACCTCGAACCTGCCCCCATTCCTGCTTGCCGGGGCCATGGCTGGGCCACTTCAGACTGCCAGCCGATTCCAAGCTGCAGCAGGAAGGAGGCGCGCGGCGCCGTTCCACTTGGCGCAGCACTTGGGAAGATGTCCCGCAAGCTGCGTCCAGGCGACCAGGACGAACACCTACCCTTGACCAACGTTTCTGCTGACGTCGGGCTCTTTGCTTATGGTCGATGGTTTACCAACGCGACATGGACTCACTGTAAAGAAGCAATTCAATTACCATTTAAATCTGGCGGCTTCTTTAGATGCCATACATGTTGCCCGTTTGCCCTGCTGGATGTTATGTGTTGGCGTAGTGTCGCTTTCGGTCAGATGCTGTACGAGCCCCATGAAAAGTCGCAAGGCAACCGTGGTTTGCGGGCAAGCGAACCAACACGTGGCAACGAATTAACAGCTGACAAGAAACCAACTGCCATATTTTCCTGTTGGTGAACAGCTGGCCTCCCAAATCTTCCAAAAACAATGACGGCTGCTGGTCGGAATTAAAAAAACACGGTTCAATCAAAATCGTGGTGGCCGAAGGGTCGGGCGTTACAAAAAACGTGTTTCGTTTTCCTTCCCGGGCCACGGCAAGTTTGAACGTGGCATTCGTTTCGCATTGGCTGTGCCGAAACCACGCACGTTAGACGTGGCTTGGCAGCTGTACTTCAAGGCGGGAAGGGACATAGGCAGGTTGCGTTTGTAAAATGGCGCCTCTGGGTCAAAGTGCTGTTCGATGTGCGCCAATGTGCTGAACGGGCCTTCGGTGTCAACTTATCTGGGGGGTCGAGGGGTAGGAGAAGAGGGGGCGCGGAAGGGGGACTGGATAGCGATGAGAAGGGAGGCAGGCGAGGAAGGGAGGGCATCATATGAATTGGGCACTGGGGTAGGAACGTGGAGAAGCTATTTGGGGAGGAAAGAAGGGGATCCTGAAACAGAGGAGTGGGGGATGCAACTCCGCAACTAAGTTCAGCACCGCCTTTCAGATAACAGCTGGGCATTATTGCATGCGTTGTTCTTTGCCCGATCCTGACTGGAACACGCTCTGCTGCTGTCCGTCCGCAGTTCCACGGGACTGCTCCCAAGGTCGCTCGTCCGTGCTCTGCCGGGCCAGCAGAGGGCTGTACTCCCCTGCATGTTGCCATGTTGCGATTGAATCGATTTCCGTCTCGAAGATAATTCCGCCAAGTGCCCTCTTCGTTGTCACCAGCAGCCAATTGTCACCAGAGATCGTCGCTTAGCGGAGTGACGTGGCCTTCCTGAAGCCACCGCCCTTCGAGATGCGTGCGACGAGGCCGCGAACAGTTCGAGCTCCCATATCAGTAGGCTTGGGACATGCAGATCAGGGCCGATCGCCCGAGCATCCCCTGCATCCATTCATTCACACCACTGCGGGTTATCAAATGCGTGGTATAACGCACCGTAGGCGTGGATCTGTTGAAAGCGTTTGCTGCTGTTGGTCAATCTCCTATCGGACGCACATCTATGCGCATAGCCGACCACTATGTTCTCTTCTGACATGCTTGGGCAACCGTCTTCCTTTCGGCTAAAGCATTACACCATGGCTTCTGGTTTCCACAGCACACGTTTCGCTCATCAGCGGCGACGTCAAGGAAACCAGAACCTGCTGCTCGATGGTAGCCCGAACCAAGTCACGATCAAACTGATGCCCCTTGAAATCCTCGCGAAGCGGGGCTAAACAACTTGGGCAGACCGTGCTACGCGACTCGTTTCCCGAATGCAGCGCGAACCTGCGCCCTGGGCGCTGCGCGTCGAGGCGCTGATCCACGAACTCTGCCTCGACATTCGCGACGTCTCCTGGCAGCTCCCTCGCTCGCCGTTGACAGCGGTCAAGTTCCAGTATGTCCTCCTCCTCCCTCCTCCTTATCCTCCTCCTCCTCCTCCTCCCTCCCCCTCCCCCTCCCCCTCCCCCTCCTCCTCCTCCTCCACCTCCTCCTCCTCCTCCTCCTCCTCCTCCTCCTCCTCCTACTACATTGAATCCAGCCGTGGCGACGTTACCGACAAATTACCCTATCGCGTCGGTCCCATAGTTGAGAGCTTCCGCGTGCTGTACGGCTGAAGGGCGGAAGCATCGCGCGCGAGGGCCGCGCGAACTTTTGGGCACCCGCCACATCAGCCAAGAAATTGCGGCCGGCGGCTCTTCGACCCTCAATCCTCGGAGTGGGGGAGAAGAAAGAAGAAGAGGACGGGGGGAGACTGAGACGGACCACTGACCTCCCAAAACCCAACGGAGGTACCGCTCAAAGACAAAGTGCGCCGACTACGATGGGCACAACACACGAGGACGCATTTCTAAGGAGCAGGGGCTGACGAGGAAGAGGAGGAGAGAACGGAGGAGGAGGAGGAGGAGGAGGAGGAGGAGGAGGAGGAGGAGAGAACGGAGGAGGAGGAGGAGGAGGAGGAGGAGAGGAGGGAGGAGGAAAAGTAGGACCAGAGGAGAGCGAAGCGCGCCTCCGCCTCGCTCTGCACGGACGACGCCGCCGCGGTGGAAGGCGTGGACCCCACGGCTTCCTTGGCCGCGCCCCCGCGGGGCTTCGAGGCGCCGCCGCAGCCCCGAGACACGAGCAAGGAGAAACGACACCACCACCACCACCAGCGCGAGGAGCCGGGATGAACGCAGGGGGCAAGGTTTAAATCGGGCGTGTCCCCCTACAGGGGGATTTTCGACGAAAAATAGAGGATACCGCCACAATGCCCCAAGAAGGTCAAAAATAAACAAAAAATAGTCCACAGACTATCTTTGGACTACTTTTTCATTATGTGTTTGGTATTTTGTATTTTTCGTGGAAAATCCCCCTGTAGGGGGACGCGCCCGACTTAAGGCAAAGTCCTCCTGGGGGCGCCGTCCACCCCTCCCGCTCGCGACATCCCCGATCCCTGGCTCAGGGAGGCGACATCCTGGACCTCGGCGCTGGAGGTGACCACTCTGGTGGTGGTGCCGCTCCTGCCCCTTCCGACCCAGCCGTCCGAAGCTGCGTTGTCTCGTGTGTTCACGGCGTGGCGCGTTCTGAACTGAACCCAGGTTGCGTTCGGTGTTCTGATCTGTCGAGCTCTGAGCCAAACCCAAGCAAGCCAAGCTGTTCCGCTGCGGGGTGCGTCAACGGGTCTGACTTGACCTGGATGTCGAGCACCGTCTCTGTGAAAATGCAGGGGTGGGATGCGCTCACACGGGGACCAACTTGCGACGCAGAACCGTTGTTTGACGAAGACGAAGACGAGGACGAGCCGTTGTTTCCGGAAGGGGCCCCACAGAGACCGAGGACGGTCAACATCCAAAGCTGTCCACGAGGTCCGCAAGAGGATTCGAGAGGAAGAAAGCCTCCGGCGGACCAGCAGGGCAGAAGAGCACGGCTGACCATGTACAGTCACGCCCTCCCGAGGCCACCAACATGCCATCCCCCAAAAAACATGTAATTCACAAACTGTACGCGATCTGGACGAGCACCTTGCGATTGCGAAGCGAGAGAAACGACTTCCATTTACCTCCCCACCCTCCCTCAAAGTCGCCTCACAGACAAATCAAGTGGGGACGCTTGAACATACTTTCGACGGGAGTCCATCTGACGCAAAGAGAAGTGTCCAGGAGGTCCACAAAGAAGAAAGCAAGCATACCCCCAAACCTGCATCCTCGAATCTCGAACCTCAATCCCCGATCCCTCCCCCTCGTGCTCCACCTCCCCAGATATTAATCCTCGAGCTCCATATCCGAGATTGGCAAGCCCAAGGCGGTGACAATCTTAAGGTTGTTTACTCCGTAAGGTTGTCACTGGCATAAGCTTGTGCCAGCCTTGGCGGCCCGCACCGGGGGGGGGGACGTTGTGCCTTCTTAAGAAGGCGGGGGGCTTCTGATGAGGCAAGGGGGTTCTCACAACCCCTTCCGACCTCTCAGAAGACCTCCTCGACGACAGACGGGTTCCTCAGAGGCGCCCTGCCTTCTTTCGACCACCCCCCCCCCGGCCTTCCTAGAACAGGGGAACAAAAAGTGACATAAACATGAAAACTCGGGAGGTCCGCGCGGATTTCTCGGATCGGCGCTGGACCCCCCTGCCCGGCGCGCGGAGCGCGCCAGGGGCGGCGCCGGAGGCGCCGCCAGGGGACCCCGGCGCGGATCCGAGAAATCCGCGCAGACCTCCCGAGTTTTCATGTTTATGCAACTTTTTGTTCCCCTACAGGAAGGCCCCCCCCGCGCGCCACCCCCTCGTGCGCGCCGCCGCCGATCACACGAGAGCGCCTGACCTCGCGCTTCGCGCCTCGCGCCTCGCGCCTCGCGCCGCCCCGCCGTGGGAGAACCGGAGGACGAGGAGGAGGCGGAGCCGGACCACGAAGCGCGAATC